CGTGATTTAGCTAATTGAGTAGTAGATAGAATTTGTATCGACTACTCGATTAGTCAATAGGCAGCGCAGCTCAGTTCCAGCTCACACTGGGTACAGAACCAAACCCCCTCTGCAGCAATAATTTAAAGGACAGTAGGAGCTGGGCAGCCTGCCCCCTGGCTCCTACAGCATTTTAAATTGCAGAGCTGCAGTGGGGTTTTATCCTGCACCCAGCACAAGCCAGAACTGAGCAGGGCTACCTGCCCAGCTGGCAGCAGCCCCTGTGCATGGAGGTCCCAGCAGAGATTTAGAATCACCTGCTCACTGGGGCTGCTTCTGCGAAACAGCCCCTGCCTGCGGCTGGGTCACCATGGACAGGGGCTGCTCCGCAGCAGTAGCCCCTGTCCCCACCGCCTCTGATAGAGGCAGCAGCAAGGGTGGGGGAAACACTGCAGAGACAGTGCTGGGGAAACCAGCTCCCCTCAGCACTGGCTCCTGTTTCCCGCCCCACTGCCTCTCATATGGAGGCAGCAAGTGGGAGGAATGTGTGTAGTCGACTCGACTACCTGATAAGCATAGACTAATCAGGTAGTCGACTACTCCTTTACATCCCTATTCTAAACTTTATGGCTGGAAACAACACAGGATGTTGTACAGAGTATATGAGCATGGCCTGCCCTGCTGCAGGGATGACCATGCTCTGAAAACCTGCTCCATCTGAGGAGAGTTGTCCCTTTTAGCCTTGCTATAGTTGCAGAAGACTCCAGCAACTACCTAGCAGTGGCAAAAGCACACCTAGGACATCCAAGTGTCTGTGACCTCTACCTGGCTGACCAGCTTCTCACAGCACAATCTCCACAAAGAATCCAGTCAGAGCTCTTCATGGGCACTAATTCAAAGCATGAATTAGAGAATAAGTGGTCTTTCTTTCTATCATAAGACAAATTGGAATCCAGTCAGAGCTCTTCATGTTGTCAAAGCATGAATGTCAAAGCATGAATTAGAGAATAAGTGGTCTTTCTTTCTATCATAAGACAAATTCTTTCATTTGGAAGAGAACCAGTATCATTTCTGTCCTGCATCTCTGATACAATATTATGTACAATGTTTATAAACTCGTTCCATCTTCTATTGCTCTGATGGCTAAGTTCTAATGTAAATTCATATTTTTATAGCACTAGACACAAACATGGAGCACCGGAGATATTTACTTTCATTATCTCTCTCTATAAAAAAGTTTTTCCTGATAGACAACAGAATGTTTCTGCCGGGCCACTGAATGACATCATCACACCATCAGCGTCAACAGGCTCTCTCAGTGAAGCAAAAGCGGACAGAGAAAGTGGGGTAGGCAAGTGTAGCGAGCAGATGGCCCAGCCCACTAGTTACCCTTATATTACTAATAATGCTGAAGTCAGTGAAATAATTTTATTTTGGTGGTTTTGTGCAAAAACTCACGGAGTGTCCATACTACAAGTGCGTTTTTGTACAAGAAAATTTACAGTACATTGTAAGAAGAGAGGGCTTTTTGCGCAAGAGTTATTCCTCTTTCTACGAGGAACAAGCCTTTTTTGCGCAAGAGCTCTTACGCAAAAAAGGTGTGTGTGAACAGTAAACATGGGTTTCTTGCGCAAAAACAGCCTATCAGAAAAAGCACAGGTGCTCTGATGGCCATTCTGTGAATGGCCATCAGAGCTTTCTTGTGCAAGATCTCTTCTGCAAAAAGGTTCTTGCACAAGAAGCCTGCAGCGTAGACGTAGCCTTTGTGTTACAATTTTGAATTACAAATGAAGTTGCAGCCCTTCATGCTTGTAGTTGTGTGATCCAAGCTCCTGGGAAACAGTTTACCTTGGAAGCATGGATATTCTTCGGGAGAATATCTACTTATTGAAATAAAGGGCCCTGTAAACTAAAGAAAATACCAGTTTGTAGAAGATACTCACAATGAATGCCTTTCAGAGAACCCATAGTAGCAGGCTATCTTATGCAAAGCCAGTCCACAAAAGCTTATTTCTTTGTTCATTAATGTCCACTGAGAAAAGGCAACAAAATTTCCATACTTTATAGTACCATGTACATTTTCTATGTCTCAAGAGCAGCCTTAACAGAAACTCATGCCAAGTTATATTTGTGTAACAGAAAAGTTAACTCATTTCTGCTCAACATTCCACATATACAATGTGCCTATTATCAAAAATAAAAAAGATGACAAGAAAAAATGCAACAAGATGGTTATGTCTTGCTGAGCATTCCTGAAACTGTTTACTTTCCCCCCATCTCTTCATTTAAATGTCTGCAGCTACAGATGGAACCAGTTACTTCACACTTCCTTAGTTAGGAAATGACCAACCATACCCAGTAGGGGACTAGGAATCATTCCTTTACTATGTAAGTTTGGACTTGCTAGAAGAGTTGTCCAAGACATATTATTCCTGTTGTAAATGAGGACTGTTCTCTTCTAACCAACCTCCCAATATAAAATTATGTACTGCCAAAGTGCACTAGGGTGATTTACAGTGAGGTAGAGTAAGACAAGTTTTGGGGCCCAAAAGATTACAGTGTAAGAGCCAAATTCTAACCTTCTTACACCACCCATGCACCCTCATTGAATTAAGGGTGGATAATTAAGCAGGGGCATTTATGTAAGGACCTGGCAGCAAGGACAACAAGATCAAACTCGAAGTAGAAAGGAGGAGGTGCAGGGATTCAAACAGGACTGTCATGATCACTCCAGCTCATGGGGTTGTTTCCCAGTACCATGTGAGGCCCCGGTTTCAATGGGCATCAAGACCGAACAGCCCCTAATTGTGGACAGAAAATATACACATAGTTCTTTAAGAGACCACTGGCTGCTGTAATGCTTCTACTAAGTAACTGTCAGCATAATGAGAGCAGTGGAATGTAAAGACAAAGTGGGGTGGTCAGGGGTCACCTTGGAAAGGGAAGGGATGGGCTCACAAGCACTATGTGTGGGCAGCTGGCCCCAGCCTAGTAAGCTGTGCAGATTGTTATTTTTGTGTAAACTTGTCGAATTAAAAGATCACATTGATTCAGTGAAAAGACAAAAGCTCAGTCTTTCTTTACAAGGCACATTCCAGTAGTTCACAAAGGTATGTCTCCACTTAGTAATGTTATACATGTAAGAGGTCATTGGCCCAGTTTTTTTCATATGCTGCTAAATTTATGTGCAATTTAACTCGCTTATAAAATACCTAATAAAAAGATTGATTCAAATACCAAGATTATGAATCCTCGTTATTTGCCATGAAAATGACCAATATTAAATAACATTAATTTTCCTGGTTTTAGTAAACATGAGTTCAAAGCAGAACATGAAATGTGAAACAATAATATTAAATTGTTTACTTGGTAGTGAATTCCACTACAAATTCACTTGTAGCTGAAAGAAATGTACAGGGGATAGACACTTATAATTATATAGATTTAACAAATACATTGAATTTGATAGTTCAAAGTGCCCTAATAATGGCAAGATTTTGCTGTGGTACCAGTTCTTAACTGGTCACTGTTTGCAAAAAACTTGATTTTTCTAGTACAAATTAGCGTTATATAGCTTTCCTCCTGCTTAATGTAATTTCCATTAATAGGAATTGCAAGTACAAGATCTCTGAAAAGAAATTTACAGTTGCAAAGTCCCCAAACATTCTGCTTTCACTGAACATTAGCACAAAGGTTTACTTCATGCACAATAGTAATATCTACTGTGGTGAAGTGCCAGGGAAATTGTTATGATTAGTTTCAGGGCATGATTCTCCACTGCCTTGCCCTTTGTGAAGAGTGACTGTACAATGCTACTGTTTGGATTCAGAAGTGTTATATGGCCATGCAAAGGGCAAGGGAGTAGGAGGAATGAGGCCGTAGTCAGTATATATTCAGCCAATATTCAGTTAGTCCACCACAATTAGAAAAAGAAAGTACAGCTGACTAAGAGAGTACTCCAGAGAGTTCAGAGACTATGAAAACCGACTTTCCCTTTTGCAAAGGTGAGCATCAGAGGCAGCTTAAAGTGCTACAATTTCTAAAGAAACCGTGTCTGTTTGGCTACTGGGAATGTGAGGCAGTGTGCCTAGAAGAGCTATTTGCTACATACTCCTTACAATGCAGCCACCAAGGCGCTCTGGGTGGTTCAGGTCTTGGCCTCAACCAGACATTCCCCAATGCCTTGTATACTCATTTGCATCTGTGCTAATGGATGTGAAATGCTGCCATTCTGATATGGTACATGGCACACTCAGTTTGCACAGATGGTCAGTGAGTAAATGTATAGGCAGTATAAAGCCAGGTCCTCAGGGCTGTCACTGGCAACACTAGCCAGCCTGAATCCTAATGCCCGGCATTTACCCCCAAGTGGTTGGTCAGGGGAATAGAGATTTGAGATCCTTGAGATCTCCCCACATCCTCCTGCACCCAACAACTGAGCTCCTGCCTTTCTGGACCTGCTTTGATCCCAGCAAAAGCAAAGCCAGATAACAGAATGAGTTGATTCAGGTGAACTGCAAGTCTATTGCAGGGACATGATTAGCTCTTCATACACTTTTAAAGGTCTGAAGTTGCAACCCTTACATTGGTTAGCCCTACCCACGCAAGTGGTCTGAATGAATTTAAAGAGACTACACATATAAGTAAAGGCTGCAACAGGCCCTAAGAAAAGACATTTTAACTGATAGTTCATCATATTCCTTAAAATGGTGAAGGAGAGTTCTGTCCAGCACATGTGCACATGGGCTTTGCTCTTTTTTGAGTGGACAACTGCTCCGTATGCATGATTTAGTCTATATTACCTAAGGTAATAACATGTAATGCAGCATTTTCTTACAAGAAATATATCTAGCCAAATAGAAATGGCAAGATGGAACAACTACAACAGCAATCTTCAAGGAATGTTAACAAAACTCTCTCCTTTCACAAAAAAAGTGGGCAGACAAAACATTCAATGTTTACAAATGTATGTGTTACGTGTACATAGACACCACCTGTAGCAATGATCACAAACAATTTACCTTTACTCCCAATGCCTCTCCTGAAATAACAGATATAGTCACACCATTCTTGGAAGGCTTGGGGACATCTTTGCTTTTCAGTTCTTGATATTGGGGTTCTACCATTTTCTCTGAACTTCTCAAATTCACCCAGAGTTGCAGAGCATGTGCCGGCTCCTCTGAGCAGAGCATCTCTGCATGAAGAATACCCCGCCCAGCTGTCATCCACTAGAAAGACGATATTGGAAAAACAAAGTACAAAAGACAGGCATTACATTGTAGAAAATGTAAATTTAGAAAACACTAGTATTTCATTACATGGGATTAGTTAACTGAAGTTTTTATCTGGTTAAAAGTCAGATTAGATAAGAAATAACCTTTCCTAACATTTAGTTTATCTATTGATTTAAAAAATTGAAGTGTTGCATTGAAACAATAGAATGTTTATCTATTGTCTCTGTTAATCTATTTTAGCAGAAATTTTAAATAAGTAAAATACAAAGCTTCCCATTGTAACATGAAGTGCTGGGAATTTAAATGCAATAGAGTGGCCGTGTTTAAAAGTAATTTCTATTATAACAGAAAGAGAAGAAGCATTCCTCAACTACAGGCTTTTCACAAATACAAATGAAAAGGCAGAAGTACTCATTATTTATGAATAAGAAGTCAATGATTCTTTTCTGCCTACTTTCCCATACCTGTAAATCTCCTGGGTTCAATTGTCCAGCATGTCCACAAAAGTCTTCATGGGCCATAGAGCCACCATCTAACAGGTAAGTTACCTTTGAAGAATAAGAGAGAGAGAGAGAGAGAGAGAGATGAAAATATTATTCAAAGACTCCCGTTTGTTTGTTTGTTTGTTTATAAAAGGGATAGAGCACTCATAAGAACAGAGGTGGAAGTACAAAAGAATTAGTCTATTCCACTGCAGTTGAAATCAGAAAGTTCTAGTAGCCTAATACTGACTGATATGGCCATGCAATCTTTGATTTCAAGATTACCAATATTGAAAAAAGATTTTAGGATCAGCACTGAATCTTTTTGTTCTCAGCCTCTCACTCATTCCTTTTTATCCATTTCTTTTTATGGGTTTCTCCCACAATCCTGTCTTCTTTTTCTCCCCTTTGTTTTTCTTTTAACATTCCTCTTTTTGGTCTCAATTCCATCACAAAGGAAAACTGCAGAAGAAACTAACCAAGGACATATCTCCTGATTATATTACTCACACAATGTTTTTACAGTGAAGGCAACAAGGAAAAAGTAAAACCAACTAAGATTATTCTTGCTGCAGAAGGCACTAAGGACAGTTGCAAAACGCAACCCTTGGTCAGTTTAATCTGCACAGACATATTGGGGAAAGGAAGTGCATTTAATGATATTCTTGCAGCTGATGATCCAGTTTTAGACTCTGATTTTTATGATAGCTCTGCAGCTATGAAAGGACTGTAAAATACAGCCAGCTGAACAAGCCACTGGGAAATTCCCAGTTAGCCACATCGCTTGGAGGGGCTGGTCAGGGGCATGGCCAAGAAGAGGTTCCATGATCTAAGCACCAATGTAGCCCAGCTATTCTCCGCTGCAAGAGCAATCTCTTGGGGGCCAAAGCAGCTGTGCATGAGTTATAGCACATCACTTGTTCTTGCTCACCTCTGGAACCAACCCTATGCCAGGCTGGCCCCAGAAATGTAGTAGGAGCACAACTGTACAGTGCAGCTATCTTTGTCACCCTCCCACACAAGCTGAGACATAGTTCCACTGGAGTAAAACAGAGCCACTACAAATTATGGATCATAGGCAACAGTGCCAAGAGTGGAGGAAGGCAAGGAGTACAATTACATGTGGGGAAAAAACATAAAAATAAGGCTATATAAAGCAAAGATATAAAATGCACCACATATTTAGACTTCCAGACTAAATAGCTTGTTAAACCAAATTTGATCCTCCACATTGGGGTCAGACATCAACAGACAGCTATTATCAAAGAGCTCCTGCCTCTTACTCCAAGCCAAACTCTGGTGTTGCCAATGTATTGTCAGACCTCCAAAAATCATGAGATTTTAAAAAAATATATCTTTGCCATGTGCTTCTGGATATTTGCAGTGTTATGGTAGTCATGTTTCTTCCACAACATTAGAGAGGACACATCTCTCTCACTAACAGAAGATGGCCCAATAAAAGGTATCACCTCACCTACTCTGTGTCTCTTTTGAGTCCCTCTAGAAAGCCCCCTGTGTGTAATCATTTCTGGTTCACAATTCAACCTGAAATGCACATCAAAAATACACACCTCCCTGCTGATTGTTCGGAGGAAATTTTTGCTTACTCTTTCAAAATAACTGGGATAGGCAAGCAGTTTTCCTATCTCTAGCTCTTCCTCATACAGTTATCCTCCTCATTTTCCACAGTCTCTTCTTTAGTTTCCTACTTATCCCATACATTTTCAGCCCTATTGGAAGAGATGGCAGACATCTTGAATGAGGAAAAAGTTATAAGCTGGAAAGCAGAAATACAGAAATCAGGTGAAACTTAAAACATCCAAATATCACATGACTATTTGCCATACTAAATTCATACTACTTCAATACTAGAAGCTGATGAAGCAGGGCAAGTTACTGGAGTCAATACTGATGTTCATTCTCGTGTCAAGGCTGAATTTTGCTTGCAGAACACAACCAGAGAGCTGCCTTTTATTTATGCAAGGATAAAAGAATTGAGGAAAGGGATGGAGCCTTTTTCCATATTAAGGAAATACTGTCTGTAGGCAAATAGCAGCTACTACTGCCACCTCATCAAAAAGCACCCTGAGCAATGCAGCTATGGATCTGTTTATGTTTCAGAGAAACACTATATTATTTTTGTGCAATGTACGTTTGCTTCAAATTGCTGAAAAATCTAATTTTTAAAGAAAACAAATTCCTCTTTAGACATTTACCCACACTAATCTTCCTCCTCATCTCATGTACTCTCTATGCCTTTCTTCAAACAACCTAAAGCCTAACAACGTCTCAATTTTATCCTGCATTTATTACAAAAGTTCTAAAGCGCCTATTTCAATTACAGAGACATTGCTAACATTTCAAAGTCTCTAGAACTAAGTCCTTGTGGTTTATGATGTTTGTACTGATTTATGTCTCCACTGATATATAACTTTCTTGTGAGTTTTGTGTACAGCTTTACGTTCAGTTCATCTTATACTCAAGAATTACATAGTAAGTACCAAAAGACTTTTTTTAATGCACAGCTATTCCTCCAATTAAAAACTGTTTTCCCGACTTTCAATTGTTTTTCCCCTCCACTTTAAAAACACATTGTTGCAGAAATTGCATGTTTTTTACTCTGTTTTAATGCAATATTAGAAATTTTATTTCAACAGCTCTCTACTTATTTTACACCTTTCTATTTATTAAAGGTTGATTGCTGTTTTTCCACTTCACTGAAAGAAGATTAGTGTCTCAGAACTTTTCTGGCCTATTTCATTAATGTGAGCATTCTCTAGTGCCTGGCTGGATCACTCATGTACCAAAACTGCGTCCTCACACATTAGTATTGCTTTCAAGACATAAGTAAAGTTAAATTTTTAAATCTATGGATGGGTTCATCACTACATTACTCTAATTTGATGTTGGTATAACTCCACGGAATACATTACTGTTACAACAGTATGACATTGTTGCTGAATCAGGCTATTTAGACTCTTCTGGACGCCATTTTGATATGCCAATACTACATATGGTATTGCAAAATATATTTTACTCTTTTCTTCTGTTACAGAACAGATGGTATACGGTAAGCTACCTAGAGACTTCCATTACAAACCTTCTGTTTATGTAAACGCTTAACTTTCTCCTAAAATACTTTTTGGCCTAGTTCATTTTTCCTAGGCATGCTATCAGTCTTGAGGTGACATTTTTACAGATGTCCAAAGGAAAGTTTGTTCATACATTTCTGAGTTATGCAAGGATAAAAATACAAGTATGCTTCTCTTCCATAAAAAGAGTTGGTTCTGCACTGGAGATGCCCCCCACCCACAACAATTACAGGGAGCAGCCATCAGTAGCCGATACTATAGTGCTAAGGAGTGGGGATGATACAGAGACACAGAGCCCATATACCGCCCGTTGGTTCCTGGTGTTTGTAGCCTGAAAGAAAAAGACCACTTGTTTAATATTGGTATAAAATATTGGCAGCTTTGTACAGAACAGCACAAACTTTTGGGCTCCACTTCTCTTTCAGAAGGTGCAAGGTGAGGGAGTTAAGAATCAATTCCTCTAAAGAATTACTTCAGAGTTTTGCCCCCAAATCCTAATGTTGGCCTTATGAGTAGTAGTATTGTGAGAGTGGACATGAGCTGGTTACATCTGAAAGAACGGGCAGGGGAGTGTAAATAGCTGTGTTGCTGTCCCCTTTTCTCCCGTCACCCCAAAAGTGTTGCTAATAAGTTTTAGGCAACTTTGACCTTAAAATTCAAGATGCAGGGCCTGCAACGTATAACTATGATGATCTTAAACAAGGTATTTGCACTTATTTTACCATTGTCTATGGAGTTTATGATCAATCAATCCATGATTTAAAAAAACATCTTTCTACAGTAGGTTGTTTGAACGGCATTTACTCTCGTGTGGAAGAGAGACTGGAAGCAGTTCCAAGTCCCATCCTGAAAAAAATGCCAAATAAAGTTGGCTGCATTGGGGCAATTTTTTTCTTACAATAGTTTTTATTTTGTTAATAGTAGCCTTGCTGCAATCTATATTATCTGACAGAGTTTACTAGCATGAAAGAGTCAAATAATTTTTACATGTAAATTCTATTTGACAATAGTCAAATTTAACACACATGGGATAAAAATGTCTGTAGTAACTCAGACATTGAGCACTCTACCCACAATACCATTTGTAATCTTCATTTTCATTTTAAGACTCTGCCACACTGAAGGGAAAATATTTAATAGTAAGTAACTAAAGAATGAAGAGACCTGGTGCCAACAGCAAACAGCATGAGCCCAAGTCAACAAAATAGAGACTTTTAAGATTGTTTGAAACCATACACTTTTCAGAGGAATGGAGGAAAAAGGAAAAAAAAATCACATTCCTTAAGTGCAAGATATATGCACATTTTAATACTCATGGTAAAGAATCCTCCTCTCCCCCCCTCGTGAAAAGAGATTACAGTTCTTCAGACATAACCAAGACAAGATTAATTTCTCTGCTTTCTTTTTTATTTGTGAGACTCCAAGAAAGTTGCACGATACTAGTATCCCTCATACATAATTACTGTCCTACAAAACAGACATATACTATCATGTGGTTAAAGGTTTGGCATGGTTATGTAAGTTTTTAACTATAGGAGAAACCTTTTCTATGACAGATATTTGTGACAATAACATTAACACCCACAAGTATTAATAACTATTAATACCACCAAGAGTCAGCTCTTGTATAGCACAACAACCAGAAGAGATACAAAATAGGACAAAAGTCAAGTCAAAAAAACAACAAAATAAATTAGGAGCCATTTCTCTCAATACCCAACTTTTAATTCCCAAAATACAACCGATGAAAATAAACAATATTAAGATGACTAAGAATTTTTTGGACCAAGTTCATCACTATTTCAATGTACTTATGCTTGGAAGGACTGTGGTACAATCTCTGTTACTATGTGTTATGAGATACATGATCTGTTATCACATAGAAAATTGCTTAGTCACAACAGCAATTCTCAACATCCTGCTTTGGACCACTTAGCAAAAGCCCCTTTCATGGAGCAACATCCTTCTCAAATC